GCTACATTTTTTTGCATGTTGAAATATTTATAGTTTTGCATTAAAAACAAAAAGTTTTGCAGAATGCAGCACCGTAAGTTTTCCTCTTTAGCCATGTATGCAGACAGCTTAGCCACTAATAGCACTAAGTGATCTGAACAAATTAATCTGCATTAGAAGGACTGGACAGGAAGACATATAGCAAAGATTGCACTACGAGTGTGTGTCGTTTCTATCACTATCTGCAGCCAGGATGTGAATTAAAAGCAGCTCACTCGGTGCTTCTTGGGACTGAGAAGACATTTGATATTTGACAAGGAAGCCTTTCTTTCATATGGGGGCATGGCTAAGGAGGCAGGGGTATGGTGCAGCATTCATAAAAACATTTAGTTATTTTGAGCAAAACCTATAAAGATTTGAGCATGCAAAACATACAGGATATTAATGAGGTCAAAATAGATCAACTGCATTAAAACTGTATTAGTGCACAAAGTGTCCCTTTAACTCTGTTTCTAGACTGTATAATGATACTATTGGAGGTGGAGTTACAATTTCAGCAAAGGGTGCTTTCTTTTCATACATTAACACTGTATACACACACTCCAAGTACCATGATCACTTCAAATCAGTGAGGTGATCATGGTGCTTGAAGTACCCTTTTAAATACTTCACTTCACTACTTCTTTTCTTTCAGGAATTGTACTGGAGTATTGGAGAAAAGATAGGAGAAAAGCAGATGGGATTTTCTTTATTCAAAAAATAGTTCACAATCTTTGCCAGGACATTATAGACATGAGAGCTTAACTTCTGTAGCTGGTAAAGTATTTAAAGGGTCAATAATGAATATGTGATATGTATAAGGGATACTATTCAGGAATTCATTGGGAATAAATTCCTTCAAATCAGCATGGCTTTATGAAACATAGGTCATATCAAACTAACTTAATTGCATTCTATGAAGAAGTGGGTAGAAGTATAGATCAGGGTGTTGCAGTGGATGTGATCTACTTGGATTTTGCTATGGCGTTTGATTCCTAGTAATAGATTAGTCTTCAAATTAAAATAAATTGGTCTATATAAAAAATGTTGTTCTTGGGTGGAAAATTGGCTTAGAGATAGAGTACCGAGAGTTGTGAGTAAAGGTAAATTTTCAATCTGGACAACAGTGGTAAGTGGTGTCCCTCAGGATTCTGCTCTCGGATCACTTCTATTTAACATATTTATAAATAATCGTGAAATACGCATTGAAAATAATTTTTCAGTGTTTGCAGATGATACAAAACTCTGCAAAGTAATACAATGTGAGCAGGATATAACCCTGCTAAAGAAGGATTTAGATAGATTGGGGGACCGGGCACTCAAATGGCAGATGAAACAACACACCATTAGGATCTGGGAATTGTTATAGACAACAACTTAGGTAACAGTGTGCAATGTCAATCAGCAGTTACTAATGTTAGTAAGGTATTGTCACATATAATAAGGAGCATTCGTTCTCGGGGTAAAATATAATTTTGCCTTTCTATAAATCACTGGTAAGACCACACCTTGAATATGCTGTGCAATTTTGGGCACCTGTTCTAAAGGAGGCTATAATGGCAATAGAAAAAGTGCAGAGGAGGGCTACAAAATTAATAAAAGTAATGGAACATTTTAGTTATGAAGAAAGGTTAACAAATTTAAATCTCTTTAGTTTAGGAAAATGGCACCTCAAAGGGGATATGATAGCATTATACAAATATATTTGGGGCCAATACAAAACATTGTCTGGTAAATTATTCATTAACAGGACTATAGGACACAAGGTCATGCATTTAGACTGGAAAAAATTAGATTTAGTCTAAGGCAAAGGACATTTTTTTACAGTAAGAACAATAGAGATGTGGAATATTTTTCCTGAAGAGGCTGTTTTATCAGAGTCTGTATAAGTGTCTAAACAGAAACTGGATGAATACTTGCAAAAGCATAATATTAATGGATATAATTTTTAAAGGGATTCTATAGTGTTAGGAAAGCAAACCTATATTCCGAACATTAAATAGCCCTCTGCCCTCTGCCCCCCCCACCCCCCTTCCACACCTTCAACCTTGGCTTTTAAAGGGTTAAAAACCCTTGAACCACTTTCCCGGATTCCAGTGCTGATGTTCCTTAGCACTGGGTCATCGCTTTAGTTATGTGACCTCAAGTTTGGTGAGATCCAGGAAGCGCCTTAAGTGGCTGTCTGGTCGACAGCCACTAAAGGCTATCTTAACATAGCAATGAAAAAATTGTAGTTTCTATAAAACTGCAGTGATTAACATTGCAGGACTAAAAGGGACAGGGACACTGCACCCAGACTAGTTCAATAAGCTGATTGATTATAGTGTCTATTTAAATTGTGGGGTAATAGCATCTTGTTCCAAGGAGATATATGACTGTCATTCTGGGATCATGAAGACATTTTTCCTAGTTTGTTACAAAACTGTTGCAAAAGGGCTTCATACTTTTTTCTTACCTTTCTTTTGATCAAGAGCAAAAACAGTTGTGAGAAAAGTTGAACTTGGTGGACGCATGTCTCTTTTCAGCGATGTAACTACCAGAAATGAGCATAAACGTTTTTTATTTTCATGAATTTTGTAGTATGAAATTAAGTACATAAAGCTTCACTCATTTATACTCTAGGAATGATTACCAGCCTGTAGAGGAACACATTTATCTGCCAGAAGTAATTGATCACTGTATGCTCACCCCCTACTTTCAAACTATAATGGAAATTTCATATTATTCCTACAATCGTGGAGGGAGAGGAAAACAATGGAATTTCCAGAGACTGATAAAAATTGCTAAAGCGGTTTTAAATACCTTTGTTTTATTTTAATGTATTTACTATATATATAGGCATTCTGTTCAAATGTAGACATTGTTTATACATTCTATTGCCATTTTCCAGTAAGCTGTACTGCTAGTAATGCCTTCAGGGTCTTTACAAATACCGATAAGCAAGGTATTTGATCATTCTTATTTATCTATTTTTGTCACAGCTGCCCTACGTGAGAAAAAAAAATGCTTTTATACCAACATTTCACACCTTCTGTGGAACATTGCAGGAAAAATAATACTGTATACTTTCTAAAGCTTTTATTTTACCAGATATATTTATGAAGGCTGAACGAAGAAGTGGATAACTAAAAATGTGTTAATGTACATATTTGCAATTTTTCTATTTTGCTACAAACTAATCTATACACAACATTCCAGTGTTATGATATCGTATATGCTAGCTATACTTCCCTTGCTTTTGCAGTTAATATAAAATTAAAAAATAGGTCAATACTATACTTGTGACGTGATTGTTGTACCATTTATATATGAAAAAAAAATATTAAACAGGTCTCTCTTTTTCTTTCTTTTTTTTAAATTCTTTATGTTTTTCAGTATTTTCTTCTGTTTACTCCCATGCTACTTTTTACATCTTTACTGGTATTTTCTTAAAAAAATAATTTTAAACACAAATTAGTTTATTGCCTCCCAGTTGACAGATGTGAATGCAGCATTTGTATTGTGTTTCTCCTTTTGGGAATGAGATGTCCACCCTCCCTTATATAACAATTGTAACCACCGATTATTCTTTAGGGAGTTGTGTCAGTCTGTGCAGTATTTTAAAATTATAGACAGCAGCGTTTTCTTCTGTGCTAAGTTAGAGTTTGTGCCTCACACTACAGTAAAACAATTTAAATTATATTGGACAGATTTAGACAAACTCATGGGCAAGCAGGACAGTGTGATTTGGTTTAAGAAAAGTCTCATGTGGATTATTTGATATGATGCTCTCCATGTGAATTCAGCCTTGCCTTGGACATAATTGTCTCTTTGGATATAGGATTTGATTTCCCATGGACATGCACCACATATCATGGGCTCTTCTTTCTTTCAAAATATTACACTGAGGTCCCTCTCTCACTTTCATATTTTGACATGACACTGCTATATTGTGTTTTGCACAGCTTATATTGGTAATTGTTTTTAATCTATTTTCATTTTCACAAAGCTGGAAATTAATATGTTGTCCTCCTCAGATGTTTAATCCGTAACTCTACAAGCCACCCCAATTTACATTTTAATAAATAGACCCTCAGGTAAATAATTACAACAACAATACTAATAATATTTGGATTAATAATTTTTGAGACAGGTGCATATCTTAAAATGGAGGATTGCAAATATCTGATCTCTTTGAACAAATAAATATTTGTGAGCTATGACATCCCAGCAGAATGCACTAATTAAAGGCATTTAAACTTCTGAAAGTAGCTTTTTGGTCTTGAAAACATTATTTTAGTGAAAAGCATAAAATCTATTTTTGTCAGGACAAAAATTAAATTGAACGAATTCAATATTGTTGGCAAAAAATATTTTTTTAAACTTAAATGTTCCATAAAATCCGATTTCATTTTAAAGAGGAATTGTCACTTCTTTATTGGATATGATAATGAACATCACTTATGACGTATGTTAACTTTTTTCATTATATGCATGATGGCATGTGACTTATTTTAATGTGTGAGTGGATAAAAATTACTGTTTGTATACACACAAAAGCGACTACAGTATATACTCGAGTATAAGTCTAGTTTTTCAGCTCATTTTTTGTGCTTAAAAACCCCCACTCGACTTATACTCGAGTCACTGTCTGTATTATGGCAACTTAGAGAGCCGCGGCCGTTAGAGCCATGGCAACGATCCCGTGGCAACCAGACCGCGAGACTTACAGTGGAGCTGACCGGAATGGAGGAGAAGAGAGCTGACAGCAGCTGCAGGAAAGGTAAGTAAATGCTTCCTGCCGGCCCCCCCACTTCACAGCCCATGCCACTGGACCAACAGGGATTAAGATAGCCCCCCTCCCTGACCAGTTAACAAGCAGGGAGGGGGGACAAAAAAAATTAAATAATTAAAAAAAAATATTAAAAAGAAAAATGTAAATAATAAAAATGCCCTCCCCCCACCCAGTTCACACACACTACACAAACAAACACTCTGCATTATATATACACTCTGCATTATATACACAGAGTGTGTGTATATAATGCAGAGTGTGTGTTTGTATGAGTGTGTGTGTGTATATAATGCAGAGTGTGTGTTTGTATGAGTGTGTGTGTATAATGCAGAGTGTGTGTTTGTATGAGTGTGTGTGTGTATATATAATGCAGAGTGTGTGTGTTTGTATAAGTGTGTGTGCTTAATGCAGAGTGTGTGTTTGTATGAGTGTGTGTGTATATAATTATAAAAATCACAGAATTTCATAGCCCCAAGTTTTACCCTCGACTTATCCACGAGGCATAGCATATTTCACAATTGTTGGTCACAAAACTGCACTCGACTTATACATGAGATCGACTTATACACGAGTATATACGGTACATCAAAAGCAGTTTACAGATGGGGCTCTTAACCAGATTTAAAACCCTCAAAACAGAATCTAGTAAAATATATGCAATCAATAATATTATTAAATAGGTCTCTTCATATAACTGGATTTTTTTTTATTTTTATTTTTTGGTTGAGTTTTGTGTAGAGTCTTTTGTTACAGAAAGGAAGTGTTTCACAAGGTTAAACATATGCATTTGTCTTATAATTTAGCAACATTGTACGATCATATCACAATTAACTGTGCTGGAGTTGCACACTTACACATTTTTGCATTGTTTCGGTCATCGTGGCCCTATTGTCCAGGTGTTCCTGGGGTCATGCAGTGTCTTTATCTGTGGGTGTTCCCAGTGGGTTTTTATTTCTTTTGTGACTCTTAGTGTTTATTGGAAGAGTGACTGGACTGTGAACTTGGAAGGGGATGAAAAGTAAACGGGGTGAGATGAGAACTTATTTACAGGGAATGATATACTATGGTGGGGGTGTTGGTTGTTGGTTACCTAGGGTGTGCCTGTTGGCCAAGGTTGGAGTCGATTGATTGTTGTTGGTTTCTAGTGCAGGGCTAGAGTGGTTTTTATGAAGGCGGTCTTGGTTATATAACTGGATTATTTTATCAGACAAATGCAGAACTTAATAAAGGAACGTGTATTATTAACAAAAACAGTCACAGTGCATACATGACAAAAAAATGGAGGATAAACAAATTAATTACACAAATTAACAGATGAAATTAAAAAGGAGAAAATTAACAGAAAATCCTTGTTACTCACTCTGCTAGTATAGTAATTTTATTTTCTATTCATGGGAAGCTCCATCAAGTAACAATCCATCTTACTAACTAGATTTTGGCTCCCAGTAAGCACACTAGTAATTTTCATGTCAAAGATTTTATACTCTTTGTTCCTATATTGAATTTCTAAGCTGGCTTTGAAGAAGGCGCAGGGTGAAGGGTAGGCGTGACTGTAGGAATTCTAGGTTTATGACACCTCCTATATTACATTTGACTGATTTACACAGAAACCTCAACTGCCTTAATCTCCAGCATTTCTGCACCAAACTCAATACTCTCCTTTTACCCATCTCAAATCTAACTTGCCCTAACTCGGCTACCTCACTCTACAACTCAACTCTCTTCTCTCAACTCGACATCATGGCACCTCCTACAATTAAACGCAGCAAGCACCCCCAATTACAACCTTGGCACACCAAGCTGACCTGTTACCTCCAAAAATGTTCTAGAACTGCTGAACGCTGCTGGAGAAAGTCTTCCTCCACTATAAATTTATGCTGCGCTCCTACAGCCTGGCTCTCTCCGCTGCCAAAGTAAATTACTTTAATACCCTCATAAGTATACTGTCCCATCAACCCAAACCTATTTCACACTTTTGATGCTCTTCTTCGCCCTTTTAATCCCCCTCCTTCTACTACCTTGTCCTCCACAAACTTTGCATCTCACTTGACTGAGATCTCTACAATCAGAAAGAGATCGCTAATTTCTCTCCTTCCCCTGCCATTACATCACCCAACCCCACTCCCTCCACCACTCTACACTTATTCACACCTGCTACAGCAGAAGAGGTTTCTGCTCTGCTCCGGTCCTCCCGCCCCACCACCTGTTCCTTCGATCCTTTTCCTTCATATTTCATCCGCACATGTCTCCCTCTCTTGCTCTTCCCCTCACTAAAATTTTAAATATCTCCCTTTCCTCTGGCACATTTCCCTCACCTTTCAAACATGCAACTGTAACCCCAATTCTGAAAAAGCCCAGCCTTGACCCCAACTCCCCATCCAACTACCACCCTATCTCGCTACTGCTATTTGCCTCCAAGATCCTCGAGAGAGTTGTGTACACCAGACTGACTGACTTTCTTGAAACCAACTCTCTGCTTGACCCCCTTCAGTCTTGATTCCGTGCTGGTCGTTCTGTTGAAATGGCTGTGAATAAAGTATCCAACGATTTAATTGCTGCTAAATCTCACGGCCATTACTCTATACTAATTCTCCTTGATCTTTCTGCTGCCTTTGACACTGTTGATCATCAACATTTTCTTTGCATTCTCCATAATTTTGGTCTATGGGATACTGCTCTCTCCTGGTGCTCCTCCTACCACTCCCATCGCTCTTTCAGTGTTTCTTTCTCTGACTCTGCCTCTTACCCCCAACCACTCTCTGTCGGCGTCCCCCAAGGTTCTGTCCTTGGTCCCCTACTGTTCTCTATCTACACTGCCTCCCTTGGTAAACTCATCAGCTCCTTTGGCTCCCGTTATTATTTCTATGCGGATAACACGCAAATCTATCTGTCCTCTCCTGATCTTTCTCCACCCATCTTGACTCGTGTCTCTGACCGCCTCTCTTTGATTTCCAAATGGATGGCTGCTCACTTCCTTAAACTCAACCTGTCCAAAACAGAACTTCTGGTCTTTCCTCTTTCAAGTGTTACTTCTCCCATGTCTGTCTCCCTCCAAGTCAACGGCGCTACCATCATCTCTACCTTGCAGGCTTGCTGCCTGGGTGTTCTTTTTGACTCCAACCTCTCCTTCACCCCTCATGTCCAATCAAGTGTCAAATCCTGTAGCTCCATCTCAAAAACAAAGAGCGCATCCGCCCCTATTTAACCCTGGATGAGGCTAAGGTGCTGGCCTATGCTCTTGTTCTCTTTCACCTGGACTACTGCAATACTCTTCTCAGTGGTCTTACGTGTTCCCAGATTGAACCACTGCAATCTATAATGAATGCAGAGAAGCTCATTTTCCTGTCCGCCCGCACCTCTCATGCCTCCCCGCTCTGTCAGTCCCTATAAATTAGATATAGGGCTCAATTTAAAATTCTGGTGCTTGCTTACAAGTCCCTACATAATGCTGCTTCAACCTACCTATCCTCCCTAATACACATGTATGTCCCGTCGAGGCCCCTACGCTCTGCCAAAGACCTACGTATATCCTCTGTCCGTACTCCCATCTCTAATGCTCGCCTCCAAGACTTTTACAGGGCTTTACCTCTTCTGTGGAACTCCCTTCACTTCTCCATAAGAATTCCACCCTGTCTCCACTCATTTAAAAAATCATTGAAAACTCACTTCTTCAAGAAAGTATCAATTAAACTGTTAGCAGCGGTTTTAATCCCCCACCCTCCATGACTCCTCTCCTGCAACTGTCAATTACCTACTAAGCCCTCAATTAATACTTTTCTAACAACCCACTTCATACCCCTGCTTTTACCCTTTATGTCACTATACCCCACTCCATCAAGAATGTAAGCTCTTGGAGCAGGGCCCTCCACCCCTCTGTTCCTGTACATCCATTTGTGTGGTTACAATACATGTTTGTTAGTCCACCCATTGTACAGCGCTAATGAATCTGATGGCGCTATATAAATAATACAATAATAATAATAATTTACACACATATGTTTATTAAAGAGCTCAGAAAAGTGTCCATTTCTCTTGTTGTACATCAGAGATATTTTTTATACTTACATTTGTCATGAATCCTCCATTGCAAAGACGCCTTACAAGACCCATTTTTGACTTAGAACAACTGACTTTCCCAATTCACCCAAAATGGCTTAAGGTACAATGGCCATGTTAGAATTTATTTTATAGGGAATACCCTCAGCATTCTGAATATGTATAACAGGGGACATGCGAATTCACCATAAGATTATTATTGTTTTTTTGCATTTGACTCAGAGAGCCTGACTCTGAATAGTAGATTTGCATATTTAAGGGACTCACTTTTTTTATGCAGAGTGTACAAAAGTTGTGAAGCTATGAGTGTCCTTTGGTGAAACGTGTCACACCTGGCCAGATCAAAACAACTTGGTGCTTGGCTGAAGAAAAAGATACCTAATTTGCAAACCTTTTCCTTTAATCTGACAAATGGCACATTCCTCTAGAAGCTACATTACCCCTTCCAGTGTTGTAATCAGCCATACCACCTCTAATGGGTAACCACTTCATGTATCCACTACACACTTCACATTTATTAACAATATTTCTACAGTGAAATAATGAATCATGCTCACTAGGAATGAAACACGAGATGCTCTATTTTCAATTAAATTTATAATAAAGATTTAGCAAATTTCATCATAATCCATTTCGGACAAGGCAAAGCCAGGGCAAACATTACAAATGAAGAGGAGAAATAGAAACGGTTTAATTCCTCTTCTTCTTTGTATGTATTCTCTAACCATACTGCCAGGTGCAAAGGATAGAGCTTGTAGCAATGATTGACAGAGAGTTAAGATGGAAGCGCACAGGAGCAGGATAAAGAGGTGAACATTTCTACATTTCATTCTATTTCTCACGCCTACATACTTGTTAAATGTAGGAATAAGTAAACATAACATTAAAAATACTGGTAAGTGACTTTAAATCATGTTTGTTAAAATATTAAAATACTTACAACTTGATAACATTTTTAAAATCACTCTCCTGAATTGGATTATTAATAAGATATTGACCATTTTTATTCATTGAAAATCATTCATGAGAGAAATAGCTGATCTAGAGCTACATTTTAGATCTTAAATAAACTCTTTCCTATACATATCACACGTTTCTCAGAGTATCTATATCCTCCAGATGTAGTTGTCTGTCAAATGGAATATATCCTATAAGTGCTTAGAAGGTGTTGATGGCAAAGATTGCATAATGTGTTGTTGGTCAATAAATCCATTTACTACCAAGCAGTATCCTTGTCTTCAAATAAATGGCATAGCAGGAATGTGCAATATTAAAGGGACTATATAAACACCAAAATAACTTAATCTCAATGAAGTGATTTTGAAACATATTTGCTACCTCTGCAGTCTTAAATTGAAAAAAAATATAATTTTTTGAGAAACAGCACTGTTTACATTTTGCTATTT